GGAGAGTTAGTATCGAGTCAGTTAGTCTGTGTGGAGTCCATCGAGTTGATAGTCAGTCAGTGAGTGCCAAGTTGATCGTTGACTGCACCGAAAGAGTCTCTTAGTATATCGCAGTTAGTGCATCTTCGAGAGAGTGTGTTGAGCTCTGGGAATGACTGAACCGAGGCGTCAGGAGCTGTATTCTAGTGTATCGTCGAGTGCATCGCGGGTTGTAGCATGGAGAGTCTGAAGAGTACGTGGAGTTCCAAGAATACGTTGGAATGTCTTGAATAATACTGGCCAATAAATTGTGTTTTGATACTTCATCAAGTGTTGTTATTATTAACTCCAAATCCGCATGAACCCCATATGAACGTCAAGAGGGAGAAATTAATGTAACAACTGGTGTCAGAAGTGGGATTTGCGAATGAATGTCAGTGACCCGCCTGCAGAGGAAAGCTATGGTGGAATAAACAAAGACTTTGATGGACTTCTTGGCTGAGATGAAATCTGGACAGGAGGAGATAAAGGTTGAGATCAAAAGCAAAATAAAAACCATGCGAGAAAATCTGCAAAAGCAACTGCAATGAATAGTAGTGAAGCAAAAGGAGATTAGATGCGAAATCGTGGAGTTTAGAGAGAAAATTGGAGCCAAAACAGAAGATGTCAAAATGACAGTAATGGCATCTGGAGAATCAAAGGATGAAGAAATGAAGGAAGTAGCTGACTGAGAAAGATCAAGAAATGATGGATGAAGCGTTTAACGGGATTAAAGAAAAGGAACGAAAACATGAAGAAATAAAAGATGGGAAAGAAGCTTTTGATTCTCAAGTGCCTGAAGTGGAAGAAAGGGAAAATGCGATTGTTAAGATTGTCGAAACTGATAGTGAAGTTACGAAGTCGCAGGCAGTAAGTGTTGAACCATTTGAAAGTGCATGTGATGCAGAAATAGGAGAAGCTGATGTACAGCTTAGGCAGTGTGCTCTAGTATTGCAAGAAAATTCACCTACTTCACAAACTGAGTGTCTGCCTCATAGTGCAGGTTTTGCAGACAAGAACTTGATTCTAAACCTGGATACTTCTGCTTGTAAAGGATCAGATTCTATTCATGACCCTGGGGTGCAAACATTGGAACTTACTTTCAGGAAATAGAGGTAAATAAGCATGCAGCATCTGCTAAAAATACCGAGATGAACTGTATGCATGCTGTAAATGAACTACAGAGTGGTGAACGAACCATTTTAGATCTTCCTGTGGATGAAAAGTCTAAAAGAACTGAATCCCCAGACTGTGATATGCAAAACAGGAATACATCTGAGAAATGCAGAGGAAAAGTATTTCACCTGGGTATAACTTAATGAAAAAGATTAAGACTGAAATTGATTCTGAAATTTAATTTGTATAATGTAAAATTGTTATGTGTTTAATTTGTGTATATAACTTGTATATAGTGTAAATATTTGATTCTTTAGTTATGTTATTTGTTTATTTTACTATCTTTATTTGTATCGAATTATCCTTCTGATCAAGGATTGTATTCCTCGGAATGTGCAGTCCTTGGGAGGGGGCAGTGTTATGAAATGCCCAGGTGCGGTAAGATAGCTTCCCCACAAAGCAGGTTTAGGGTTGCCAGAAAATGGCAAGGAAAAGCAGGGTTGCCATTTTGGCAGGAAAATTGACAATATGCCATGGACGGGAGAGCCTTCTAAAACGATTTCTTACTGATTTAGCCCAGAATGTTTCGAGCACAAGCCAAAAGCTATATAAACCCTACTGGTACGCGGAAATTTAGTATCAAGTCAGTTAGTCCGTGCAAAGTCCATTGAGTTGATAGTCAGTCAGTGAGTTTCGAGTTGGTCGTTGACTGCACCGAAAAAGTCTCTTAGTGTGTCATGGTTAGTGAATCATCGAGAGAGTGTGATGAGCTCTGGGAACGACTGAACCCAGGAGTTGGGGGCTGTACTCTAGCGTATAGTCGAGTGCATCGCCGGTTGTAGCATGGAGAGTCTCGAGAGTACGTGGAGTTCCGAGAACGACTGACCAGAGTCAGGAGCTGCACTCTGGTGCTTTGCAGTGAAGCTGTCTTCACCCTTATAGCCTGATAACCTGGAGGCTGTGTCGCTGATTGTTACAGCATGTTTATTGTAATTCTTCAACAACTGTAAACGTGATTTTCGAGCTGTCTTGAATAATACCGGCCAATAAATTGTGTTTTGACATAGTGTTACTATGTGCTATTAAAGTAACTATATATAACTGAATGAGTATAAAATTTTCTGATAGACACTGCTTGACACTGAAAATGCAACACCAAGAAGGAGTGGTCAGAAAGTGATGAAACTTGGAAAAAAGACAGAGACAGCAAGCAGCAATAAATGATCTTTATTTCAAAATGATAGTCAGAATACAGAGTGAGAACGGCGTCGGCTCAGTAGGATGTAGGACCACCACGGACAGCGATGCACGAAGAAACACGTCTAGGCATAGAGTCAATAAGAGTGCAGATGGTGTCCTGAGGGAGGGCTCTCCTTTCCCTTTCAAACATTTGCCACAGTTCGTCTTCTGAACGAGGCAGGGGCAGATTCTGCAAACAGTGTCCAATCACAACCCACACATGTTCGATTGGTGACAGGTCAGGAGAGTACGGTGGCCAGGGAAGCATCTGTATACCTTGCAGAGCATGTTGGCAGATGTGAGCACTGTGTGGTCGGGCGTTATCCTGCTGAATAATTGCATTAGGCAGCCCCTGAAGGTAGGGGATTGCCACCGGCCGCAGTACATTATTGAAGTATTGTTGGGCTGTCGTAGTGCCCTGAATACGAACTAGAGGTGACCTGGAATCGTAGGCAATAGTGCCCCAAACCATTATGCCACTTTGTCGCATGGTGGGGCGTTCCACAGTTACTGCCGGATTAGATCTGTCTCCACGTCGACGCCACACACGTATGCGGTGACTGTCACTGTATAAACAGAAGTGTGACTCATCTGAGAACACGATGTTTCTCCATTCTATCATCCACATTGCTCCAGTCTGGCACCATTCTAAACGTTGGCGTCTATGATGTGGGGTCAATGGCAGTCTTCTTAACGGATGCCGTGAGTGCAGGCCATGTTCAACCAATCGACGAGAAATGATTCTGGTCGACACGAGAATATCCAGGGTATCTTGCACATGCTTGCAGAATCATGGTACAAGTTACTTGCAGGATTGCCACAGCTTGTCGGCGGATGCGTCGATCCCACGCATGCTGACATCAGTCTGGGCTGCGCCTGCACCCCTCCTTCTTGCCGCATTTCCTTGTTCCAACCATATTCTCCATAGCCGATGCACCATTGCTCCCATCCATATGGGTATCAGCTGCGAATTTGACATAAGGACCAACCCCCCCTTCTCAGTCCGATCACCATACCCCTCGTAAAATCATCTTATCTGCCGGAAGTGCCTTTGTTGGTGGCGGCCTTGGCATTCTCTCCTATTACACGTATCCTCCGGGACAAAAACCAACTTCTTCTTTGATAATCCTTGGCAGAAATAACGACACGAATATTGCCCATTCTCCACGTTCATTCCCTTATACGAGGGCCATCCAGGAGTAGATTACTTTTCCGTCTGTGTCCGCTAGGGGCGGGGCTAGCGGCGGCCATCTTGGGGTCAGCGTTGCGGCACTCGTCTGCACTAGCCGTGCTAGTGAGAGTTCGTGCTGTCTCCGTTCATACTGTGACGGTTGAAATTCTGCGTTAATTGAAAATCCCGCGAGCTGCGAGGTGCGCTCAGTATAAGGTTTCTTACGCAAAAACTGTAAACCGATAGAAATCTATCGGCACTTCTGAATGTAATGGGGGACAACATTATCACTGAAGTGGTGCGTCAGTGGGGTCATAAGATTTCAAAATGGCCGAACCAATCCTTCTGGTGTTTTTGCAATTTCCAATGGTTGGAAGTGTAAAAGGTGTAATTTTGGTGGACTTCCGGAAAGAGGCACTACATAACTCTCATTTTGCCAAACTCTCCAAAACTCAGAGCAATTCAAACAAGCGCAGAGGAATGTGAGCTCAAGATCGGTTGATTCACGACAACGCCCGGCCCCACACTCAATCACTCGTAAAGTCTTGAATCTTTTTAAGTGGAGTTGTTTCCTCATCCGCCTACAGTCCCGCCTGCACCGAGCGACTTCCCACCTATCCCCAGCAATGAAGAAGTGGCGGCTATCAGCGTTTTGATGACGACGCACAGCTGCAATTAACGAGTGGTTGAAGCGCAGGCGGCCGATTTTCACGAAGGAATTTCCAAGCTCGTACATCGCTACATACCTTAATTTGTATGTGACTATTAGAAAAAGTATTGAGTGTGGCTTTCATCTGTATAAATAAAAATTTGTTTCCTATCTTTGTTTTTTTTTTATTCAAACGTAACTCTGGATAGCCCTCGTATCTACTTCATTGCGTCGAGAGCTGCACATTTACATCATTCGCATAATCATGACGTGGTCTACTCTAAAATTTGCATAAATTTCTGACCACTCCTTCTTGGTGTTGCATTTCCAATGTTGAGCAGTGTATTTATATATTATTTTTATCTGTTAACATTTTCTAAATGATTTCTGGTGTCTGAGACTTTTGTGCTGAATTATATTTAGATTAGTTTCCTCAATAAAAAGGCATTATTTATATTGTATATTTGCCAAGTGATAAACTCTTCAACTCCATTATTGTTACTGTGCTTGCTGATTTCAGATTGGGGAAGGTGAAACCACTTTGTATATGCTGTTATTATTTATGTTTATCATATTCTTTCTTTTAGTGTATCTTTATTTTATGCATTGTTTGGGATAATATAAAATTCTGGAGGCATAGAAACACTAAAACTATTCCTGTATAAATTAATGGAAAATGTTAGTTTGCTTTATGCTATTTGGGCTTATGAGAAGTTTATGGATGTACTAGAGTGTACCAATAAATATTCTCGTAAAGCAAATGAAAACTGAAAATCTTAATTTTTAATACAGTGTTTTGTTTTTCAGGGAACACAGTATGTTGGAATGGCAAAGTCTTTAATATCATATCCAAATGTGAAAGAGATGTTTGAATGTGCAAGTGATATTCTGAGGTATAATTTACTGGATCTGTGCTTAAATGGACCTCAGGATATGCTAGATATGACGGTTCATTCACAAGTTGCTGTAATGGTAGCATCTCTTGCTGCAGTTGAAAAAATGAGAGCTGAAGCTTTGCAGGTAATATATTGAAATTTATAGCATTAGTTCAATAAGATCCAAGATCTAAAAGTAAAATATTAACATACATATGTGCTTATTATATCTTCTAATAACTGTGCTGCTAAAAATTTGTGTTAAGTTTGAAATCTAGTTGTGTGAGTGCAAATTTCAGGAATGACTATCAAAAAATTTCTTTAGTTTTATAATGAAAATTATAAGTTAATATCATGAATGGCTTAATTTGATTTTGATTTTAGTTAGAAAAGCTTAATGCATTTCAAGAGAGGATCTGATATCTATTAATATTAGAACTGTCTTGACCAATTCCCTAATGCAAAACACTTTTTTCAATAATGTTTTTTCCTTCATGAGGCACCTGTTTCAGTTTACCAGATTTTCACTAAATTACTTGATCAACAACTGATTATTTAAAATATTTACTCATGCACCCTTTTTAAAACATCCTGTATAATCAATTTGCTTATAAAACCCAGTAAAGCATATAAATGGAGCTCAAAATATTAACTTGTAATATCTGTCATAAAATTTTATAACTTTCATTAATTTTTATTGAAAACAAGTAACTATATAACATACTCCAGAAAAGTATTTCCTGAATCTGTCAATTGCAGTTACTATCGCTTGCTACTCATGCTTTGAAAAGCTGCAGTGTCTTCATTATTCGTAGTGAATTAAGCAAATAGCATCTAAATTATATAGATATATATTAAAACTCTTTTTTTTTCTTTTTCTTTTTTTTTTTTTTTTTTTTTAGATGGTAGAAAATTGTGTTGCTACAGCTGGCTTCAGTGTTGGAGAATATTCTGCTTTAGTTTTTGCTGGATCTCTAGAGTTTGAAAGTGGTATGAACTCAATAAATAATAATTTTGTATTAAATCATTTTAAGAGATCTTGAATCTTCAATTTCGGTTTTAGTGCCAACTACTCAGAGTTTATACTAATAACTCAGGTGGGCCATTGGCCTTTCATAATTTTTCAATAAATCAAGGGTGCATGAGCACCGCTCCCGAAGGCGAAAGAGGGTCTGAGTGGCAAGTCATTAGGGAAGGCAAGAGTTGAACAACGTCAAAAAATCAACTTTTAACTTTATAAAAGTTATTTTACATCAATGTAGAATTTTTTGAGTAGGTGCTGGGAGTAATGCATGCATTGACTGTGGTTCCTAACTTAGCAGCAGATACGAGAGGGAAAAAATTTAAAATCACGTGACTGAGCATTGCTATGTCATTGGTTTGAATTTGCATAAGCAGAAACTTACATCTTTTGAAGATAAAAACTTAATAATACTAATTAAGCACTAATTAAGTGTACAGTTCGTCAGTAGGAAGTGCATTTAGTCCGGAAAATGTATTTAAGCAGAAAATTTGCATTGGAGTGTTTATTTCTTTTGATATTTTCAGAAGTGGGCGGGAGATCATGTGGTCCAATCGGAGGCTTGGAAATGAAATTTTTTCAGAGTAAGTCAAAGCGATTCACTAATATGAATTTTATAAAAATTTTCGTAAAAACACGCACAAAGTCCATTTGGCTATGCCAAGTATTCATAGTCCTTTCTTTAACAACATAGTCCAATCTTTGTAGAGCACAGTTTTTACATCCACAAGAGTATTAAATAAAAATAAGATAAAAAGAAGAAAAAAAATATATATATATACAGTATATACACATTCACCACTTAGGGTTGTAATGAATGGAACGTGGTCGCTTGACAATGCTTTCTATAGCTGAGTCATAATTTGCGAGATTTTTGATTGCTTCATATGGAGAGTTATTAATGCTATTGAAAAAGTTATGGGCAGTGATGAAGATTTGATCCTGGATCTCCGGGATTTTTAAGTCTTCGTAAATAATCGTTTTCCTCACGAACCATGGAGCATTAGTAATAGCATGCAAAACTTTATTTTGAAGGATGCTGATTTTTCTTCTATTTGTTTTACTTGCAGCGGCTCATGCCGGGACAGCGTACAGTAAGATGGGACATATTAGGGTCAAATAAAGCGTACATTTTGTTTTTAAATTCAGTTTAAAATAGCATCCGATTAACGCGTAAATCGCCAAAAATGCAGCATTAGCTTTATTGGTAATGTAATTAATATGTTCTTGAAAGGTGAGTTGGCTGTCAATGAGAACTCCAAGATATTTGTAAGAGTTTGCAGTAGGGATAGGAGTATTGTTAATTTGAATATCAATATCCACGGGAAAGTATTTTTTGTAGCGTTTGTAGAGTACTATGCAGCGTTTGGTGGGATTGAGTTTAATCTTCCAGATTTTACACCAATATTCTATTATTCTAACATGATGCCGTAGCTTATCAATTGCATGCTGTGGTTAGGAAATTAGTTAAAATTACTACTGCTCATCCGCATATTTGAGGATTTTTGAATTTTCTGGTTTGGCATGTCATAAACATAAATATTGACATTTCTTGGCGAGAGAACTGATCCTTGTGGTAGCCCTCTTTGTATATTTTTCGTCATTGACAGAGCTTCTCTGCATCTTACTTGAAAAGTTTTTTCTTCCAGGTATGAAATCATGATTTTAGAAAGCTTGTTCGGAAGAGAATTTGGCTAATTTGTGAATTAGTCCTGCATGCCACACTCGATGAGCTAGAAAATAGGATGTTTAATATAAATAAAATATACTTTAAAGCAGTGGTTGTTAACCTAAAGTGTGAGAGAAATTTCAAAAATTAAAAAAAAAAAAAAAAATGTGGCAACAGTGCATGTTACAAATGGTACCAATTAGGGGGGGGATAAATAACCCTTTGGCTGCAGCGATAATAATTCGTGATGTGATATATCGTTGTTTCATTGCAGGGGACATGTGGGGAAGGCTTTTTCCATTTATTGTAATTTCCTTGCTTAGCACATTGTGCTTGTCATCACTCATCAGTACATGCAGTACAGAAACTAGTTAAGATGTGTTCGCATGCTATTAATAAGAATGTAAACGAGGTTTGTATCAAATATTACTTTAATTAATTAATTTGTGTAATAATTATTGAAATTAAATTTATATCAATTAATTAATTTTTTTAAATTGTAGTATCACTTGTTAAGTCAAAAACGCATCAATGGAAAGACGATTATGTCGCTAATAAAAAAGATGGTACACAATGAGCATGATATATTTTATATTGCAAAATATTTTCCATTGCAGGGAACCATCAAAGCTGTTAGAACATTACAATAATCAACCTGTTAGTGAAATCTGCAGGGATATAATCTTAACATCTTGAAATCTTGAAAATAACATAAAAAAATGGATAAAGGCATATTCTTTGATTCTCTAACCACTCCAAAATATGTTTATCAATTTCACGCTGCTCTGCAACGGGGGGGGGGGGGCGCGCGTGCAAAGAACTGGAAGTTGATCTGTCAGCACTATCCTTATCTTCAGAGCAGATGTTTTTATTTTATTCGGCTTATAATTCCTTACTAAATGTAGTATTTCATCTCCATGTACTCCGTCTTTGATATGATTTAAATCAAATTCCTCGTCATTATAAATATCACGAATGCACAAATTTTGATACACTTTAGATCATAATTGCTATTTATTCATAATTAGGTTCATATTTTTAATTTTAACTCTGGCATGCATCTACCAGATTTAAACTGATGATCTATAATTCGGAAAAACCGATAATCCGGAATCGCCGAAGTCCCTACGAGTCCGGATTAAAGACTTTTGACTGTACTAGAAGATTTTCTATTTTGTAAACCATTTGATTTTATGACAAAAGGCACTGATGTTTTTAATCACATTAAAAAAGTTGTTTAAATGCCTAATACCCATGATTGTTATAGGCTCAATTTGCACTGATAGTGCCTCTGCAATGTTGGGGAAAAAATTCTGGCCGAATGCTGACCAGGGTTTTTGAATTGCACAATGAAATTATACAATTTCTTATTAACCAAAATAGTGATTTAATGGAAGCTTTTGGAAACAGAGATGCATTGCTTCAGTTGGCCTGCTCATTTAGCAGATACGTTTAACCACATGAATGAAGTAAACACTTCAATGTAAGGATTTGCCAAGAACATAATGACAGCTAGTGAAAATTTATAACTTTGGAGACATGGAGTTGAATACGGGAATTTAGCAAACTTTCCTTAACTGAATTCAGTCATTTGATCGATACTCAGTCCATTTTTGTTTGATCAAAATTCAGTAGAAGACAGCGATTCTTTTAAAAGAAGATGTTATTGAAATATGAGCTAATGCATGTATGGCAATGGAATTTGAAAAACTAGATGTAGAACAGTTCTGATTTAAACAGTTAAAAGCTAATCCTCAGCTGGCAAAAGCAGCGTTAGAGGTACTTTCACTATCTGCCACCATAATACCTTTGTGAAATGAGATTTTTAGTGCTTTTGCACATAAAATAATAAAGCTAGAGATTAGTTAAATATATCGGATGACTTGTGCATAGCTGTTTCAGAAAAAGAGTTTCATTTTAGCAGAATTATTATCAATAAATAACAACAACCTAGCCATTAGCATTTAAATATTGCTTTTTATGTTATGTAGTAATACATATTGTAAATAAACATGCCATTTGTTTATACAATATGTTTTTCCCTTAAATAAAAAATAGACACATTTTTTAAGGGGTGCGAGAGCTTAATTTCAGATTCAAGGAGTGCTAACCACTAAAAAGGTTAAGAACCACTGCTTTAAAGCCATGATGTGTATTTGTATGTTAAAAATTTAATTTAAAATTTTGTATGTTATTATTTTGTATGTTAAAAAGATATACAGTCAAAAGTCGTTAATCCGGACTCGTCGGGACTTCGGTGATTCCGGATTATCGATTTTTCCGGATTATAGATCATCAGTTTAAATCTGGTAAAATGGCATGCAGAAATTATAAAATTAAAAATATAAAACCGTAATTTAAAGAACAATTATGATCAAAATTTACAAAAAAAAGCTCAATATTTATTTGTTTACTTTATTAAACATTTCTTTCAATGTAAGTTGTTCAGTTGCTTCGTTTTTTATATGATAATACATTCTCTTTAATTCTATAAATAGACATAATTTCTTGTTTAGTTACAAAGTTCCGCTCTGAAGTCCTGTAATTGCTGTGACGAGAATTCCGACTAACTTGTCAATCGAAATTTTTTCGTTTTCAATAACCTCTGTCACTTTCTTCGCTATCGGAAGCGAATTATAATGACGAGGCATTTGATTTTAAATATATCAAAGACAGAGTACATCGAGATGAAAATACTACATTGAGTAAGGAATTATAAGCCATAAAATAAAAACATCTGCCCTTAAGATAAGGATAGTGCTGACAGATCAACTTCCAATTCATTGCACGCCGCGGCGGCGTTAAGATAAACAAACGTTAAAGTTTAGATAAACAAAGGAATATGCCTTTATCCATTTTTTTGCAGCAATTCCACTTTTTTTGTAAGGGACTCGAAAGATACTTTCGCTTTGTATATCCTTTCAATTTAGTAATATATATCGGAAATTCTATTTTGACATAATCGAAAGTTCAAGCTTACTTTTATAAAATGCTCTAAGTCTGCAAAAATAATAATCCAGATCCAATTCGAAGATTAAGGAACAACGCCATCTGCAACATTAACTGAAATCGATAATTAGATAATTTTAGCTTAGCTTATCCCGTCCGTTATACATTAAACGCGCATTCGTAAACGTATTTTGCGCACGCGCACATGCAAATTCGCAGCGGTAAAGGTCTTACGCGCATGCGTCAAAGAGACGCATGCGCAGAAAGTTTGTAGCTTTTAGGTCTGGATTATGGGTGTCCGAATTAACGACTTTTGACTGTATTATTCTCAGCTGTCATTGTCTTCTTTTTTCTCCGATAATAGTTTAACTGTTGCAGATATTATTTTTGTGATTTTGAATCAGGATGCTGAAAAGAACAATGATTTTTTTTTAATAAAATTTGGTAGTGATATAGTATGCAAACTGCCACTTTTAATTAGTCATTTTTTAGATTGCAAACAATGACAAGAAATGGATATTTTGTTTAACATGTTAAACTGATGAACTCAAAACATACTTTTTCATCATGAGATGAGGAGATGCCTCACTGTTGCTACCCATAATTCAGAAGTAATACCTGGCTCAGTTATCATGAGTGACGATTGGTCTTCTTACAAGGAGCTGAGTTGATCAGGATAGGATTATCAGATCATAAACCATCAAAAGAGCTTTATCAATCCTGCAAATGGTACTAGTATTCAAATGATTGAATCAGGTTGGGGGATTTTGAAGATCATAAACCATCAAAAGAGCTTTATCAATCCTGCAAATGGTACTAGTATTCAAATGATTGAATCAGGTTGGGGGATTTTGAAGCTAAAGATTCTACACAACATGAAGAACACTACACTGCTAATGCTTGCAGAAGCAGTGTAGTGTTCATGTAGGGATCTATTAATTCAATAATAATAGCTTCATAAAATAAAATCAATAGCTTTCGTATAAGAACATGTGATAAAATCGCAGGAGAAGGAAATGATTACAGATTTTAGTGCCACCATCTAAAAAGTAAATAACTAACTAAAAGTCGTAGATTGCATACTACATCAATACCCAAAAATGTTAGATGCTTTCATTCTTGTATTTCTCTGTCTTCTGACAGAATGCAGTAAATGATAATTTCTTTTATTGAAAAAGATATTTTATGTGAAGCATTTATTCATAAATACTGTTGTATCCATTAGCCAACAGCACTAGAAAATGCTGTCAAGCAAAAATGTTGCCAAATATTTATGCCTGTTTTGAACTAATAAAAATAAGAAGATCCTGCAAAATCAAAATACAGTCAAAAGTCGTTAATTCGGACACCCATAATTCGGAATGATCTATAATCCGGACCTCAAAATTAAAACTTTCTGCGAATGCCGCGTTGACACATGCGCATAGGCGTTTACGTGTCGCGTAAGTTTTACGCTGTGCATATTGTGCGCAAGTGCAGAATACGTTTTTCGCGTGCGCGTTTTATGTATATGGACGTATAAGCTAATAATTATCTATTCAGTTAATGTGATGATTGCCGTTTTTCCTTATTTTCGAAGGATCGGCTTATATTTTTTGCAGACTGTAAGAGCAATTTTAAAAGTAAGTTTTAACTTTCGATTATATCATAGAATTTCCGATATATATTTGTTAATATGTAAAGGATCTAAAGCGAAAGTATGTTTTGAACCGAAATCTGTTTATCCTTTCACGCGCTCAGCGGTGGGGGGACGCCGCGGCGCGCAATGAATGGGAACTTGATCTGTCCGCACTATCCTTTTCTTCAGGGCAGATGTTTTTTTTTTATTTGGCTTTAATTCCTTATCAAAATGTAATATTTCATCTCGATGTGCTCCGTCTTTGATAGATTTAAAACAAGTTCCTCGTCATTATAATTCACTTCCCGATAGCGAGAAAGGACAGAGGTTATTGACAACGAAAAATTTCGATTGACAAATTAGTCAGTATTCTCAACAGCATTATAGGACTTGAACAAAACGGAACTTTGTAACTGACAAAAAGTATTCGTTTAATAATTAAAAGAAAAGTATTATCACATAAATGAAGCAAAAACTTAAACAACTTACATTGAAAAGAACTGTTAATAAGTAAACAAATAATATTAAGCTTTTTTCTTTTTGCAAATTTGATACCCTTTAGATCATAACCTGTTCTTTATTTCATAATAAAACGGTTTCATATACCATTAATTTTAGAATTTCTGCATGCCATCTTACGAGATTTAAAACTGATGATCTATAATCCGGAAAAATCGATAATCCGGAATCGCCGAAGTCCCGACGAGTCTGGATTAACGACTTTTGACTGTATAATCAAAGAATATTGCCATTCATGCAATTGCAACATTTTTACAAAAAGAAATCTCAGTTATTTTCACAAAGTAATTTTGACAAATAAAAAGTACCTGTATACCTGTAAAAATGATGCACAAGTATATAAATAAATATCTTCCTCAAGACATCGCAACAGCAATTTGGAAATTAGCACAGTTAATAATAAAAGCTTTTGTATCAAGTAATGTTTGTCATTTCTTGCACTTGACAAGAAAGTATTTTCTGGTGATGATGATGTTATTAATAGGAGATACACTAGGAATCCAAATAGCAATTTATATTCTAGCATTAAATATTTTCTTTCAATTAAGTTTTATTTTTCAGATAAGCAAATATAAGGAATGTTCAAATATTTTATAAGTTTTAATAATTTGTAAATCTTTGATAGATTTTTGTTTAATTAAGTGGACCCTTTTTTTTCATCACAGTACTTTGGCATCATTTGTGTCCCGCCTAGTTTTGATATTTTCTTACATCTTAGCCCAGAAAATTGTGTCAAATATATAAAACGTTTTTGTGGTTATATAAGTTTGAACAGTTTTCATATCAACAGCTCTTAAACTGCCTTCATCGTTTGCTTTGCATCTGTTCTCATTTTGAACAGCTACAATTATTTCATTATCCTTAAATAACTGAACTGGCTGTGAATGAATAATGATTATTCATTAACATTTTGGCTGAACAGACTTAGAAAATTTGAGTAATCAAGAGTCTATAAACATATGTGAACATTACAAAGAAGTGAAAATTGCATGAAAATATCTCACCTTAAAACTACGATTTGAAAACATATTTAAAATTTTAGATGAAAGTCTGCAGACATAAGAAAAGAATGCTTTTTGATTAATCATATGTTTAACAAAAGTGCGATATTATAAAGTATTGCATTTTTGAAAAACACATTGCCATTTTTGAAACTGTATTAAAATGTCTGTCTTGAAAAGGTTTTTTTTTTTAAATTCATATTAATTTTTTTTTCTTTGCATATCAATATTAATTTAAATAGCCAGTATAGTAATTTTCAAAAGTTTTAGCTTCAGTGGTGGGCATATTTATATTTATTCACAACAAAATTATCTGTAGAAGAATCTTAAACATTATATACAGAAACCTTAAACTGTGGCAAAATTTCATAATGCCTTCAATTTTTAGAAATATCACAATATAAATAGCCGTGGCATGCTAATTATTATTATTATTAATAAAACAGTTTTACAAGGTAAGGAAAGCTCAATTACTTTTTGTGAATCGCAGCTAATCAGTTTTAAAAGGCAAATATTTATAGAAGTAAACTTCAAATGTTCAAAAAATGAGTAGATCAGTATTTTAAAAATCTAGCATTCAATTACTCATTTGTCAAACATCTTAAGTAAAGATAACACATACAAATATAAAACTATAAATTTTCATATTTTAAAAGAGTGCTGAGTTGTTGTAGATTAATGTTTTAAAACAGTATGCAGAAATGAGTATCAAATTAGAGATACTATTTTATTTGTACAATAATCTAACAAATTTATGGATATGCTTCATTTTTAACATTATATAGTTTATAAATTTGTAAAATTGTATTGTGATTAAAAATAAATAATTAGTTAAATAAAAAATTTTTCTATTTCTTAATTATTTTCAGCTATTCGACTGCTCAAAATTCGAGGGGAAGCGATGCAAGCTGCATCGGAATTGAAACCCAGTGGGATGATGACTGTATTTTTAAGCAATATTGCTAAAATCAAGCAGGCATGTGTAACAGCAAGAGAATGGTGTGAACAACAGGGTATAAATGATCCAGAGTGTAAAGTAGCTATTTATATGTTTCCCAATTGCAGAGTCATTTCTGGTCATCTAGAGGTGAGTGTCCAGCTTTGTATATATCTTATTTTAAATAAGCCCCTTCCTGCCTCCCTAAAAGTGTATGCAATTTATTTACATATTTCATTTAATCTTTTCTTTTAAGGCTTTGAAGTTTTTGGAACTCCATGCTGCAGAGTTTGGAATTACAAAAATCAAATACATACCAGTTAGTGGAGCATTTCACTCAAAACTCATGCAACCAGCTAGAAAGGTTTTAGATAAAGCTCTGAAAGCTACCAAATTTGAAATGCCTTTAATTCCTGTTCATTCTAATGTTGATGGCAAACCCTACACAACTGTTGAAAAGATACGGGAAAATCTTGCATTACAATTATGTAAGCCAGTGGCTTGGGAACAGACTATGCATGTCATATTTGAAAGGGCCCAAGGAACAGCATATCCTAATGTATTTGAGTGTGGACCTGGAACATCACTGAAAGCTATATTGCGGTATAATAACGGAGAAGCAAGTAAATATTTTACTAGTATATTAGCTTAGTTCTGACCTATTGTCAATAAAACTATTTTAACAGAATTTTTGAAATATTTATTTATTGCAATTAAAATCTTTAAAACGTGAATTTTCTTTTTTTTATCTTCTATAATGCTTATGTATTAGAGATCATGTAAAGCATAAACATGGTGAAATTATTTTTGCACGAAATTTCCTGTGTAGTCTCTTTCAGAAAATAAAATATTAAATACACAGACCCCCTGATGCTAAAATTAAATACCTGCTCATTTACATTGAAATCTAACTATACATATTTCTATCAAAAAATTTCAAAAATGAATTTTGTATATATGTGAATAATTGAATAGTCAAACTATGTAAATTGTAGGATCTTTTGTATAACATAACACGAAAGACCTCAGAAATGTGAAGCATCTCCAGAAAAACAGGGTTACAGTGGTGAGTTCATTTAATATTGAGGTAAATAACTGTCTCGGTGAGATAGTACCAAGCTGGGGATGATTTTAGCGACTAATTGTTGTCTGCAAACTTAGCGACATTTTAGTCCGATCCCTATATAACTGTAACTGTTTATGCCTTCCAGTAATTTCGAGAGAAAAATTTCTAGGTCGCCATGGGAAAATTGTATAAGATCAAAGAGAGCATCAGTTTTTAAGTTTAGCTTAGAGATACAGGCTGACTCGTCAGCCATGTTTTAGCCATGCTTTAGGGTTCCAATTCAGGTTTGGGGCTCCACCTTTGTTTTTTAGCAGTGTTCGCTAAAACTTTAATATTTTAAACTTTTTATTTAACATTCTAGAAATATAAACTTTTTATTTAACATTCTAGAAAATCTAAACTTCTGTTTTTTTGCACTCACATTAAGATGTGTGGCTTCCACCTTCTTTTCTCTGCAATTCAGGTTCGTTCTCGTATTTTTTTAAATTGCTACAATTCTCATATGATTTAAGTTATTTTAAAAGTTTCTAAAACATTTTCATATATATTTCAAATTTGTATATTAGTTAAAAATGCTTTCTTTTTGACTTCCTTTATTGAATTTTCAATTTTTTCTCTTAAATACATGCTGAATGTTAGGCATCTCAAAATGCATTTTTGACAAGAGATTTCCCGCAGCCATATTCTTAATTTTGTATGAGTTTATACTGATTTTGAAATCATATTTTCATATTTATTTTCTTTTAGAATTCAAGGTGTTATATAAAAGTTATAAATCTCTCAATACTGTATTTGTATGATAATTCTTAATTTCTCAGTTATGGTATTTCAATACTGATGGAGTTAAGCATATTACTTTTATTTACATTACATATTAAAATATTTAGAGAACATTAAAGCTGTGGGTACAAATGTGAACAACTTTAGTAATAGTACTTCAGTCAGTAGATATGAATTCAACTTCAGGCAGTAGGTATGAATACAACTTCAGTAATTTTTAATTTTCTAAATTCTAATAGAAATAGAAATTCTTTAGAAAATTAAATAATTTAATTTTCTAAATTAATAATTTTAATTTCTAATTCACTAATTTTTCAGTAATTTTTAATTTTCTATTTACATATATACTAAATCGACAGCTACTTTTCTAAAATTGTAAAAATATTTTACATGATAAATGCACAAGTGCATACTGATGTTTTAACATGTCTAGCCAGTTCACATTTTAAACTCATGAAAAATTTAATAGGTTGTCTGTATATAATTCTTGTTTTTTATTTTTAACATGCTATTTGAAATTTGCTTATATGGAATCAAACGTCTATTATTGTAGCAAACTGGTTCAAAATGTTATTTTGTGTGTTTCCAAAAAAGGCAAGCTAAAAAAGCTTTATGATTATGAAAAACTTTATGATTTAAAAAAAAAAAAGAGTTTTTAACAGATGATTCAGAATTTTTCATTCAATTAATTTAGTTTTCACTTCGCGACAAGGCAAAAATACACAAAAAATCAACATCTGTATTGAAAAATTATGATCGTAAAAGAAACAAAAACTTTATTTAAAAAAAAATTCCAGAATGGATTAAGCATGATTTATGCAATATAAAAAGAAAAGGTTATCTGGGTTATGTAAGCTTATTTTCTCTAGATTGGCAACAAAAATTCTGCCTGTTCAAATGTAAACAAGCAATGGCCGCCATGGGGAAAATTTTTAGGCTTAGCGGCACTTTTAAAACCGCTGTGTGATTTATCGGAGATCTCGGTTCGATATTACTTGGCCGTAAAAGAGGAAACAAACCGGAGCCAGAGAGAATGGGTACGATTTCTTTTCTCCACGGTTTACTCGGGTTCTGGAGGAAATGCAAGGAAATATTCAAGCTTTGAGTGACAGTTTTTGTCAATTTTATGGGTTGATGGTTCATTGGGGGGACTGGCGCGTGTTTCCCTTTGTATATATACGTTGGTTGGGATTAGTTAATCTGTCCTCCCGGCGGAATGCATGCATGGCACTGGGACAAAAAAAAAAAATTAAAATAATGTCGAGAGGCAGATAGCGGCGGAAAGGGGGGGAAAGCGATGATTTTTCCAGGATAGTGATTAGAAAAAAAAAAAGTGGGGGGGAAAAAATCAAAACAGGAACAGTTACTGTGCTTTTTAACTTTGAATTGAGAAAGAGATAACCCGTAGAGTAAAAAGGAAAAAGAAAAGAGGACCAGATACCAGTTGTTAGAAACGTTCCCGTTATCACTTGGTGTTGGTTTAAAAAAAAACAAAAAAAGTTATATTTAAATTTTGTTTGCCCGCGAAAACTCGCGATCGGATAGTTAAAACTAATCTTAAAAAATAAATGTTTCACCGAAATGCACATTTTTCAAAAATACATATTTTATTTTTTTGTTTCTTTTGTTGATTTAAAAATTTTCAAAAATGATGATTTTAAATTTTTTTAAAAACATTTAAGAAAGCAAACGTGTGTGTGGGCTAAAAAGTACAGAAAATGTCAACCCCATTTTGTCCCCCCCCAAAGTCATTCCCCATTTTTTAAAAAACTTAAACCCGGGGAAAACCTGATTTTTTTTCTCATCAAACATTGAAAAAAAAAAATCTGCCCTTTTTTATATATATTTAATAAAGGAATGTGTTCTTCTTTTTATAAGAAAAGATACCCATTTTCCTTTCTAAACTTTTGAAAGTTGCCAACGCTTAAAAAATGATAAACGACGCCAAGGTAGTAACCTGCCTTTAAAAAAAAGATTCACTTCAACACTTAGGTAGTTCGTGTACATAGAGTCCATTTTTTTCGATTGGGTTCAGATGACGGATCTGACGCGCATTCATGGTTAAAGTTGGTGCCAATAGCTTAAGCGGCTAATCGCACCCCTGGTGCGAATCAAGGTCCGTAGAAGCGAATAGCATTGGCCGACTCAGCAACCTACACCGTTGATATCCTAACTAGATGGCCAGAATGCTTAGTCGCTACTAAGATAACAACTGGAGGACACAATAGCAAATGTGAGCCACACTAGCGAAATCACGTATTGTCTAACCTTTCTGTTTCACCCGTTTAAATACTCTCGTTCACCTGCTTAATTTGCATCCTGGTGAAGAAATGCGAGGGGAATATAAGAAAATTCGGAAAAGATAGAAAAATTAAAATAACTGGTAGTAAACAAAGGAGAAACCTACTATGTAAGGATTCTAAAATTTTTTACTCTAACCTCATAACTCAATCTATAAATCTAATGAGTTTTGAAAAAAAAAATTCCAAGTGATTGGATGCATCAGTTAAAATTGAAACAAATGAATATTTTACCAAATCATTCCCCAAATATCTTAAAGCGTAAGGTATGAAAACATTTAGTATTATTGTATAGGATCGAACTCTTTTAGCTATCATGCAAAGATACGATCTTAGTAATAAGCGAGGTTACTTAGGTGTACAGAACTAGAACACAAGGAAAGGATTTAAATTTCCCCTTTTATTTGATTAAAACCCTTTAGCCAAAAATCCTGTACTCTGTGCTTTTAAAAAAAAAAAAAAAAAAACTACTTGTAGTGAGAATTTAGGAATAATTTAACAACAATTGAAATGGCAAAGAGTAGAGCTAGACTACTTAAAACTAAGAAGCTGACTCAGCAACCTACACAGGTGATAGACTTTAATAAACGACCAGAAGACTTATCAGCAACTAAACAGCAGGAAGGGCAAAATATCAACGTGCGCTATGCTAGCAAAATCACTTCTGTCTTTCTCTTTTTGCCCCTATAAATACCCTTTTTTTCGTTTAATTTGCATCTTGGTGAGAAAATGCAAGAGAAATGAAGAGTTCAGGAAAGGTTAAAAAAAATTAGAATAATTGATTATTCAAACTAAGGAAAACGCTACAATTGCTTCGGCATTGATTCACGCACATACAAATTTAGGCTCAGATGAAGCAGCTTGGGCCTAAAGCTATGGTGTGACATATAATATGGTATGCAAAAGTACCTTCTACTGCAGCTAATTCTTCTTCCTTATCACCCATTTTCTCTTGTTTGAATAAATTCATTAATAACAAGCTAGAATCAGTAGCAGAGTTTGGCATTTTATGTTTATTACTATGTGAAGTGTACGTCCACCATGACTTATTGAAAATTTTAAACAACAAATATACATCATAATCGCAGTACAGTCTCACACTACTGTTTTTCAGGACAATTCGGGACAAATGCTATAAATTCGAGACCGAAAAATAAGTTGTAAAAAATTGTGAAAGACTGAAAATCCGGGACTGTCCTGGGAAATTCTGGACGTATGGTCACCTTAGTTGAACGGGACTGACGCCAATAGACAGTTAAGACAGAATATGTATACTAAAATAAAGGATGAAATTTAATAAGATCTTTATCTGGATGTGATTAATAATCTTATTTCTTTCGACAACAGAAATATAACATGGGAAAGTTTATTAAACAGTTCAACAGAAGTAACATTTGAAAGATCTTATCTTTTCAATCATTAACAGAATTGTACAAAAAATTATTAAAAAAAAAAAAAAAAAAAAAAAAAAAAAAAAAAACTTTTAATTTTTTAGTGTACTGATAAATAAAAATATAGATTACCTTTATTAAAATTAAGATT